GGGACCCCCGATGTGACCCCCACTCGCCCTGCACCACGTGACAGGGAGCAGTGGGACCCCCGATGTGACTCCCACTCGCCCTGCATCACGTGACAGGGAGCAGTGGGACCCCCGATGTGACCCCCACTCCCTCTGCACCACGTGACAGGGAGCAGTGAGACCCCCGATGTGACCCCCACTCTCCCTACATCACGTGACAGGGAGCAGTGGGACCCCCGATGTGACCCCCACTCCCGCTGCATCACGTGACAGGGAGCAGTGGGACCCCCGATATGACCCCCACTCTCCCTGCATCACGTGACAGGGAGCAGTGGGACCCCCGATATGACCCCCACTCTCCCTGCATCACGTGACACGGAGCAGTGAGACCCCCGATGTGACTCCCACTCCCTCTGCACCACGTGACAGGGAGCAGTGGGACCCCCGATGTGACCCCCACTCCCTCTGCATCACGTGACAGGGAGCAGTGGGACCCCCGATGTGACTCCCACTCGCCCTGCATCACGTGACAGGGAGCAGTGGGACCCCCGATGTGACCCCCACTCCCTCTGCATCACGTGACAGGGAGCAGTGGGACCCCCGATGTGACTCCCACTCGCCCTGCATCACGTGACAGGGAGCAGTGGGACCCCCGATGTGACCCCCACTCGCCCTGCACCACGTGACAGGGAGCAGTGGGACCCCCGATGTGGGTACGGGTGGCGCTGTCGAGGTCTGGAGACGTTGAATACTGGTAGGAACCACCTGGTTCCACCAGCCCACAGGGGATTATTGTGTCCGTCCGTCCGTCGTGCATCCAAAAATTGGAGGGGGTGGGGCTGGGTGGAGAGGGGAGGGTGGGGAGGGGAGGGTGGGGAGGGGCTGCGTGGGGAGGGGAGGGTGGGGAGGGGCTGGGTGGAGAGGGGAGGGTGGGGAGGGGCTGGGTGGAGAGGGTGGGGAGGGGCTGGGTGGGGAGGGGAGGGTGGGGAGGGGCTGGGTGGAGAGGGTGGGGAGGGGCTGGGTGGGGAGGGGAGGGTGGGGAGGGGAGGGTGGGGAGGGGCTGCGTGGGGAGGGTGGGAAGGGGCAGGGTGGGAAGAGGAGGGTGGGGAGGGGCTGGGTGGGGAGGGTGGGGCTGGGTGGGGGGTGGGAAGGCTGGGGCTGGGTGGGGAGGGGCTGCGTGGGGAAGGTGGGGAGGGTGGGGAGGGGCTGGGTGGGGAGGGTGGGGAGGGGCTGGGTGGGGCTGGGTGGGAGGGGTGGGGCTGGGTGGGGAGGGGCTGGTCACCCCGTGGTGCCCTTATAAGACTCAACGTTTTACCTACTCACGCCGGCTTGTGCCCGCCCTCAAAGTCGGGCATATTTGCGGAATACACCACGCCGCCGTTGACCCTGGCTATTGACCGAGCAGCCCGACGTTCCTACCAGCTCCCTCGGCAGGAATGTGTTTGGGATGCCACTGAGAGCTCCGCACTTTTGAATCATCACCTCGATTGAAAACTCATCGCTTGAGTACCACTTTGTGTTTTTAGTTTAGTTATTGTCCATCCCCCGCACCGCCCGATTAGCTACGTACGGTGCGAAAGAAGTTCAACACACACATACAAACTGCCCGTAGACTAACACTGCCCATAGACCCCCCCCCCATCCCACACACACACTGCCCATAGACTAGCCCAGGGGTCGGCAACCAAAATAACAAGAAGAGCCATTTCTTTCCAATTCGGTACAAAATTCAGTATTTCAAGAGCCGCAATGCACGTGAGTACATACGTACTCACGTGCATATCGTCAAGAAGCAGCCCGTAAAGAGCCGCATGCGGCTCCGGAGCCGTAGGTTGCCGACCCCTGGACTAGCCGAGCGAGACGGGAGATGGATGAGAGAAGAGAGGCGATGGGAAATGAAATCCCCAGAGGATGGAGATGGAACGGAGAAAAGGGAGCAGAGGGTGCAGGAGAGATGAGGAGAGGCAGCAGGAGGAGGCTGCGTGCGAGGCTTTGACACTGCTGCTGCTACTACTGCTGCTGCTGCTACTGCTACTACTGCTGCTACTGCTGCTACTACTGCTGCTACTACTGCTGCTACTGCTGCTGCTACTACTGCTGCTACTACTGCTGCTACTGCTACTACTGCTGCTACTACTGCTGCTACTACTGCTGCTACTACTGCTGCTACTACTGCTGCTACTACTGCTGCTGCTGCTGCTGCTACTGCTGCTGCTACTACTGCTGCTACTACTGCTGCTGCTGCTGCTACTGCTGCTGCCGCTGCTGCTACTGCTGCTACTACTGCTGCTGCTGCTGCTACTGCTGCTACTGCTGCTGCCGCTGCTGCTACTGCTGCTACTACTGCTGCTGCTGCCGCTGCTGCTGCTACTGCTGCTGCCGCTGCTGCTACTGCTGATACTGCTGCTGCCGCTGCTGCTGCTGCTGCTACTGCCGCTGCTACTGCTGCTGCTACTACTGCTGCTGCTGCTACTACTGCTGCTGCTGCTGCTTCTGCCGCTGCTGCTGCTACTACTGCTGCTGCTACTGCTGCTGCTGATGCTGCTGCTACTGCTGATGCTGCTGCTGCTACTACTGCTGCTGCTACTGCTGATGCTGCTGCTACTGCTGATGCTGCTGCTGCTACTGCTGCTGCTACCGCTACTGCTGCTACTACTGCTGCTGCTGCTACTGCTGCTGCTGCCGCTGCTGCTACTGCTGCTGCTACCGCTACTGCTGCTACTACTGCTGCTGCTGCTACTGCTGCTGCTGCCGCTACTGCTGCTACTACTGCTGCTGCTGCTACTGCTGCTGCTGCCGCTACTGCTGCTACTACTGCTGCTGCTGCTACTGCTGCTGCTACCGCTACTGCTGCTACTACTGCTGCTGCTGCTACTGCTGCTGCTACCGCTACTGCTGCTACTACTGCTGCTGCTGCTACTGCTGCTGCTGCCGCTGCTGCTGCACAGAGGAGAAGGAACGGCTTCTGTTTTCACAGTGGGCAGGGAGACGAGAGGGGTTCAGAGTGGGAGGGCGTGGCCATAGAAGTCACGTGGTTCACGGGAGGCTTGAGCCGGTTTATGAAGAGAGGCGGAGCTATGTAGATCACGTGGGAGGGGTTCAGAGTGGGGGGGGGGGGGGGCATAGAAGTCACGTGGTTTAGGGGAGGCTTGAGCTGGTTTATAAAGAGAGATGAAGCCACTGAACATCCCCTGTAAAGCTTTCGTGACTGCAGGGATTCATCTTCTTGGTTCTTTCGGTAAAGTCGCGTAGAAGGAAAATAATAAAATAATAAAAATAAAACGTAATAAAATAAAATTCTCACGACGTTTCGGCCACACCGCACGCAGCCGTCCTCAGGTGAAGAATGAATTTACCGAAAGAACCAAGAAGATGAATCCCCAGTGGAGGTTCGCTGAATGTCGTCGCTGCTGTCGATGAGAGCCGAGCAGCGAGGGTTGCCCCGCTGACTGATGGCATGAGGAGGGGGGGGGGTGCCACCGGTAGAATACACAAACAAAGACAAAGATCCCCCATATAGCCTTTGACATACTGTTGGGGCAAAGTGCTCTTTGTGAACGAGCACCTATGAAGTGGGTGGCGTAGCCAGCGGCACACCCGGCTGCCTTTGTCTCTCCGCCAGTGCTCAAGTTTACACACCATAGCGGGCACTTAATTGAGGCCGAGCCGACCTAGGAGAGGCTCAGACCCCCGGTTCAAGATATTTGCTGCCACGAACTTGGGTCGCCGGGTTCCTGGCGCTGTGCGATAACCACGACGCTGCCGCTCCCCACCATCAGCGAGCAACTAGCGAAGGCCGGCACGCCACACGAGGGAGGGTGGGTGGTCAGCACCACGCCCGGCCGCCTTTGTCTCCCCGGTGGCGATCACGCACAGACACACACACACAGACACACACGCACAGACACACACACAGACACACACACACAGACACACACGCACATACACACAGACACATACACACAGACACACAGACACACGCACAGACACACACACACACACAGACACATACACACAGACACACACACGCAGACACACACACACAGACACACACACGCAGACACACACACAGACACACACACGCAGACACACACACAGACACACACAGTCACAGACACACACACACAGACACACACACACAGTCACACACACACAGACACACACACACAGACACACACACACAGTCACACACACAGTCACACACGCACAGACACACACACAGACACGGAGAGGCAGCTCTGGTTTGCAGCAGGAGTTTTATTTGAGTCAAGAGGACAGCAACGCAGCGAGACGCTGTGTGGGTGAGTGGGTGTGTGGGTGAGTGGGTGAGTGGTGGAGGAGGAGGCGGGGTGAGGTGAGGCTGACGAGGTTGCCCCACGTGACACCTCGTTACACCGGGGGGCGGGGCGGGGGGGGTGGGTAACGAGGTGAATGAGGGCGCCCACCAACACGGGCGGACGAGAGTGGAGGTCTGCGCGCAGCCGCGGCTGCTGCGTCAACGGAACCGGTTGAGCCGATTGCTGGGGTCGGAGTGGGTGTGAGTGGGGTCCCGCGGTGTGAGTGGGGCCTGTGGGGTCACGGAATGAGTGGGCCCTATCAGGTCAGGGTGTGAATTGGAACCTATAGGGTCACGGTATGAGTGGGCCCCACGGTGCCAGAGTGGGTGTAAGAGGGCCCTGTGGGGTCACGGAATGAGTGGTCCCTGTGGGGTCACGGAATGAGTGGGTCCTGTGGGGTCACGGTGTGAGTGGGCCCCGTGGGGTCACGGTATGAGTGGACCCTATGTGGTCACGGTATGAGTGGGCCCCATGGTGACAGGGTATGAGCGGACCCTACGGGATCAAGGCGTGAGTGGGCCCTATGGGGTCACGGTATGAGCGGGCCCTACGGGATCAGGGCGTGAGCGGGCCCTATGGGGTCACGGTATGAGTGGGCCCCGTGGGATCAGGGTGTGATTGGGCCCCACGGTGACAGGGTATGAGTGGGCCCTATGGGGTCAGGGTGATGTGTGAGTGGCCCACCCCCTCCATGCGGTTGTTCGAGGCCATGGGGGGCTGTTCGTCAGCTGTGCGGTCGAACGCTCACCCCCCACCCCCACCCCCGTGTCTCTCCTGTGTGCGTCTCTCACTCTCTGTGTGTGTGGGGTCCCACGTGGAACCCCTCTTGTGGACCCCCCCCCAGTAAGGGGGGTGGGTGGGTGGGGGTCTCGGGGGGTGGCTGCTCACTTCAGGCAGGGCATGGTGCACACGGGCCCCGAGGAGCACACGTTCAGGCTGCACGGGTCCTTGCCTGCGGGGGGGGGGAGAGGGGGGGGGAGAAGGGGGGGGAGAGGGGAGGGCAAGAGAGGGGGGGCAAGAGAGGGGGGGCAAGAGGGAGGGGAGGAGAAGGGGGGGCAAGGGTGGGGGGCACGGACAGGGGTGAGCGGGGGGGTGAGCTGTGTCACGTGTGTGCTATGTTTGTGTATGCTGTGTGTATGTTGCTTGTGTATTCTGTGTGTATGTTGCTTGTGTATGCTGTGTGTATGTTGCTTGTGTATTCTGTGTGTATGTTGCTTGTGTATGCTGTGTGTATGTTGCTTGTGTATTCTGTGTGTATGTTGCTTGTGTATTCTGTGTGTATGTTGCTTGTGTATTCTGTGTGTATGTTGCTTGTGTATGCTGTGTGTATGTTGCTTGTGTATTCTGTGTGTATGTTGCTTGTGTATGCTGTGTGTATGTTGCTTGTGTATGCTGTGTGTATGTTGCTTGTGTATGCTATGTTTGTGTATGCTGTGTGTGCTGTGTTTGTGTATGCTATGTGTGTGTATGCTGTGTGTGCTGTGTTTGTGTATGCTATGTGTGTGTATGCTGTGTGTATGTTGCTTGTGTATGCTATGTTTGTGTATGCTGTGTGTGTGTGCATGCTATGTGTGTGTGTATGCTATGTGTGTGTATGCTGTGTGTGTGTGTGCTGTGTGTGTGTGTATTTATGCTGCGTATGTATGATATGTGTGTGCATGTTGGGTGTGTGCCGTGTGTATGTGTATGCTATGTGTGTGTGCATGCTATGCGTGTGTGTGCATGCTATGCGTGTGTGTGCATGCTATGTGCGTGTGTGTGCATGCTATGTGTGTGTGCATGCTATGTGTGTATGCTATGTGTATGCTGTGTGTGTGTGTATGCTGTGTGTGTGTGTATGCTATGTGTGTGTATGCTGTGTGTGTGTGTGCATGCTATGTGTGTGTGCATGGTATGTGTGTGTGTATGCTATGTTTATGCTATGTGTGTATGCTGTATGTGTGTGTGTATGCTGTGTGTGTGTATGCTGTGTGTGTATGCTGTGTGTGTATGCTGTGTGTGTGTGCTGTGTATGTGTATGCTATGTGTGTGTGTATGCTATGTGTGTGTCTATGCTGTGTGTGTCTATGCTATGTGTGTGTGTATGCTATGTGTATGTGTATGCTATGTGTGTGTGTCTATGCTATGTGTGTGTGTATGCTATGTGTGTGTATGCTATGTTTGTGTGTGCTGTGTGTGTGTGCTGTGTGTGTGTGCTGTGTGTGTGTATGCTATGTGTGTGTGCATGCTATGTGTATATGCTATGTGTGTGTGTGTGTATGCTATGTATGCTGTGTGTGTGTGCTGTGTGTGTGTGCTGTGTGCGCTGTTCTCACCGCAAGGCATGGGGAGGGAGGAGCAGACTCTGCTGGAGCCGCAGCACGCGGGGTTACAGCGAACCTCACTGCTCAGCCTGCAGCACCACACACAGCGCCGCACACGCCGGCTCACTCACCCACTCGCCCACTCACCCACCCACTCACCCACTCGCTCGCCCACTCACCCAGTCACTCACCCACACACCCACTCACTCACTCACTCACCCACTCGCCCATACACTCACCCACTCATTCACCCACTCATTCACCCACTCACTCGCCCACTCACTCATCCACCCACTCGCCCATACAAATGCTACGGGCCCCGCACGTTCAAGGGCCCCGCGCTAAATGCTTTCAAGCTATCAATTCCGGTTCAGTGATTCTGCACTTGCTCTATTACTATAGTACTATACCGCCTTCAACTTTACGAATATTTACGTTTTTTTATTATTTAGAGCCCCCTTTATAACAACATGTTCTACAGGCACTGCATACAAAGACAAAGATCCCCGTATAGCCTTAACAGACTGTAGGGGCAAGTGCTGTTAGTGAGCACCTATGAAGGCCAGAACGGTACACGAGAGGGTGGGTGGCCAGCACCACGCCCGACCGCCTTTGTCTCCCCAGTGGCGATGTTTACACACCGCACCAGGTACTCATTTAAGGCTGAGTCGACCTAGGGGAGGCCCAGGGACCGGTTCAGATAATCGTCACTGGGTGTTGGCCGTGAGCGGGAATCGAACCCGTGTCACCGGGTTCATAGCCCAGCGCGCTAACCGCTACACCACCGCATACACACGCACATACACACACACATACACACACACATACACACGCACACACACGCACACATCCACACGCATACACACACACACGTACACACACACACGCACACATACACACACATACACACACACAGACACATACACACACACATACACACACACACGCGCGCACAAACCTCTCCTACCCCCAACCCTCTCCTCACCTCGAGTCCTCGCCCTCGATGAGACACTTGTAGGTGGAGATCTCCATCTCCAGACCCATCTTGATGTTGAGCAGCGACTCGTACTCGTGCAGCTGACGCTCCACGTTGGCGCGCACGTCCGAGTACTCGGCCTCCAGACGCGACAGGACCTCGGCGAGGCTGCGCACCTCCACGCTGAAGCGCTCCTCCGTCTCCGCAAGGTTGTCCTCCAACGTCGCGTTCTGCCGTTGCGGGGAGCAGAGCGGCAGAGAAGGGGTACGGGGTGGGGTGGGGGAGAGGTGTGTCACGTAGGAGCCACCAGGTGATCGTGTGGTGGCTCCGACGAGCCAAAGGATGGCTCTGTGAGTCAAAGGATGGCTCTGTGAGCCTTAGAATGACTCTGTTCATCTGTGTGGCTCTGTGAGCCTTAGGGTGGCTCTAAGTCTCTAAAGGGCTCTGTGAGCCATAAGATGACTGTTCCTCTGTGTGGCTCTGCGAGCCATAGGATGACTGTTCCTCTGTGTGGCTCTGTGAGCCCTATGGTGGCTCTGTTCCTCTGTGTGGCTCTGTGAGCCATAGGATGACTCTGTTCCTCTGTGTGGCTCTGTGAGCCCTATGGTGGCTCTGTTCCTCTGTGTGGCTCTGTGAGCCTTAGAATGACTCTGTTCCTCTGTGTGGCTTTGTGAGCCCCATGATGGCTCTGTTCCTCTGTGTGGCTCTGTGAGCCATAGGATGACTCTGTTCCTCTGTGTGGCTCTGTGAACCCCATGGTGACTCTGTTCCTCTGTGTGGCTCTGTGAGCCATAGGATCACTCTGTTCCTCTGTGTGGCTCTGTGAGCCATATGATGACTGTGTTCCTCTGTGTGGCTCTGTGAACCCCATGGTGACTCTGTTCCTCTGTGTGGCTCTGTGAGCCATAGGATGACTCTATTCATCTGCGTGGCTCTGTGAGCCATAGGATGACTCTGTTCCTCTGTGTGGCTCTGTGAACCCCATGGTGGCTGTGTTCCTCTGTGTGGCTCTGTGAGCCATAGGATGACTCTATTCATCTGCGTGGCTCTGTGAGCCATAGGATGACTCTGTTCCTCTGTGTGGCTCTGTGAGCCATAGGATGACTCTGTTCCTCTGTGTGGCTCTGTGAGCCCTATGATGTCTCTGTTCCTCTGCTTGGCTCTGTGAGCCATAGGATGACTCTGTTCCTCTGCGTGGCTCTGTGAGCCTTAGGATGACTGTTCCTCTGTGTGGCTCTGTGAGCCATAGGATGACTCTATTCATCTGCGTGGCTCTGTGAGCCATAGGATGACTCTGTTCCTCTGCGTGGCTCTGTGAGCCATAGGATGACTCTGTCCCTCTGTGTGGCTCTGTGAGCCCTATGATGACTCTGTTCCTCTGCGTGGCTGTTGTGAACCCTCGGATCGATCTGTGCCTGTGTGGCTCTACGTGCCCTAGGATGGCTCTGTGCGAGCCAGATCCGTGCCCCCCCCCCATCCGTGCCCCCCACCCCCAATCCGTTGCCCCCCACCCCTCCCCAATCTGTTGCCCCCCCCCCCCCCCCCGTCGTTGCTTACCGCGCTGCGGAGTGACTCCATCTCCACCTCCAGAGTCTGGAACTGTTGCCGCAGGTGGTGAGCCTGGCTCTTAGCGGCCGACAGCTCCCCGTGGGAGTGCACGGCCGATGCCTCGGCAGCCTCCAGCTGATGTGGGGGGGGCAGGGGGGCAGGGGGGGGCAGGGGGGCAGGGGGGGGCAGGGGGGGAGGGAATGGGGGAGACACACGAGGGGGGGGTGGCAAGAGTGGGGACAAAGTGGAGACACGGTGGGGGCACAGAGACATGAACGAGATATGAGTGCAGATATGGTGATGGTGGTGCTGATGATGTTGGTGGTGGTGGTGGTGGTGTTCGTGATGTTGGTGGTGGTGTTCGTGATGTTCCTGGTGGTGTTGTTATTGTTGTTGCTGGTGTTGGTGGTGTTGGTGTTGGTGTTCATGATAATGTTGTTGGTGTTGTTGTTTGTGGTGTTGTTGTTGTTGTTGTTGGTGGTGGTGGTGTTACTGGTGTTGGTGGTGGTGGTGATGGTCATGATGATGTTGTTGTTGTTAGTGGCGGTGTTGGTGTTGCTGGTGGTGCTGTTGTTGCTCGTGTTGTTGTTGTTATTATTGGTGTTGTTCCTGGTGTTGCTGGTGGTGGTGTTCATGAAAATGTTGTTGGTGTTGTTACTGCTGGTGTTGTTGTTGGTGGTGGAGGTGTTGTGAGTGTTGTTGGTGTTGTTAATGATAGTGTTGTTGATGGTGTTGATGTTGTTGTTGTTGCTGCTCGTGTTGTTGTTGTTGTTAGTGGCGGTGTTGTTGTTGTTGGTGATGTTGTTGTTGTTAGTTGTGTTGTTGTTGCTGCTCGTGTTGTTGGTGTTGTTGTTAGTGGTGTTGTTGTTGGTGGTGGACGTGTTGTGAGTGTTGTTGGTGTTATTAATGATAGTGTTGTTGGTGGTGTTGGTGTTGATGTTGTTGTTGTTGCTGTTCGTGTTGTTGTTGTTGTTGGTGGGCCGGTCCATACCTTGCTGTGCAGCATGCACTCGGCCTCGTGGCGGTTGTTGTGGATCATGGTCTCGTACTGTGCACGGATCTCGCTGATGATACCGGCCGTGTCGGCCCCGGGGGAGTTGTCCATCTCCACCTTGGTGGTGGAGCTGCTGTAGTCCATGCGGAGCGACTCCATCTCCTGCGGACGTCACCACCACCACGCACAGCACCGCCGGCGACAGCAAACAGCTGGGATTATTTCACCTCCACCACTACCACCACCACGACCACCACCCCCCCGTGTCTCTCTCTCTCTCTCTCACCCCCCGTGACTCTCTCTCTCACTCACCCCCCGTGTCTCTCTCTCTCTCTCACCCCCCGTGACTCTCTCACCGTGTTCAAGAAGTATCTCAGAAATCTAAATCTGTATTCATACTGGAGGAATCCGATGAGCTGTAAAGCTCTTTTTTTCACAGATGTCCAGCAGTCTCGCCCACGTGGCCAAGTGTCTGTCTCTATGTTTTTCTCCCCCGAGTTTCTCCCCGTGTCCCAATGTCTCCCCCCGCCGTGTCCCCGTGTCTCTCTCACCCATGCCCAATTGTCTCTCTCTCTCTCCCCATGTGTCTCCCCCCCCCCGTGCCCCAAGACCCCTCTCCCCCGTATCCCCCACCCCGAATTCCCTCCCCTGTGTCCCCCCCCCCCCGTGTCCCCCCCCCCCGTGTCCCCCCATGTTAGCACCCCCCCCATTAACACCCATGCCTCCCTCCCCCGTGTCCCCCCCCCCCCCCTCATGTCCCACCCCCCCCCCCCCCGTGTACCCCACGTGTCTCCTCCCCTCTCCAACACCCATCCCTCCCTCCCCCGTGTCCCTCCCCCCCGTGTCTCCCCCCCCCCCGTGCCCCTCCCCTCCCCCGCGTGCCCCCCCCGTGTCTCCCCCCCCATGCCCCCCCCCGTGTCCCCCCCCCATGCCCCCCCCCCCGTGTCCCCCCCCCGTGTCCCCCCCCCGTGGCTCCCCCCCCCTCCAACACCCATGCCTCCCTCCCCCATGCCCCCCCCCCGTGTCCCTCCCCCCCTCCCCCCGTGTCCCCCCCCCCGTGCCCCTCCCTCCCCCCCGTGCCCCCCCCCACCCCACCCCGCGGTGATGGTCCTTGAGCGTGTGGATCTCTCCCTGCAGCACGTTCTGCTCGCACGCCAGCTGATTGCGGCACGCGCAGTACTCGGCCGACAGGCGGCGCAGCTCGTGAGCGTCCGCCTCCACCGTCTCGCGCAGCGCAGACTCCGCCTCCCACCTGGAGGGCGGGGGCAGCGGAGGGGCAGGGGGGCAGGGGGAGGGCAGCGCAGAGGAGGGCATGGGTGAGTATTGAGGTGAGTGCATGTGAATGTCAGGGGATTTACGGGTGAGTGCCCGTGTGAGTGTGCAGGTAAGAGCACAGGTGAGGGCACAGGTGAGTGGACGGGTGAGTGGGTGGGTGAGTGAGTAGGTGAATGAGTAGGTGAGTGGGTGAATAGGTGAGTGAGTGGGTGAGTGAGTAGGTGGGTGAGTGGGTGAATAGCTGAGTGAGTGGGTGAGCGAGTAGGTGGGTGAGTGAGTGGGTGAGTGAGTAGGTGGGTGAGCGAGTGGATGAACGAGTTGGTGAATAGGTGAGTGGGTGGATGGGTGCGTGAATAGGTGAGTGGGTGAGCGAGTGGGTGAATAGGTGGGTGAGTGGATCGGTGTGGAGGTGAGTGGGTGAGCGAGTGGGTGAATAGATGAGTGGGTGAATGGGTGCGTGAGTAGGTGAGTGGGTGAGTAGATGAGTAGGTGAGTGGGTGAGCGAGTGGGTGAATAGGTGAGTGGGTGAGCGAGTGGGTGAATAGGTGAGTGGGTGAGCGAGTGGGTGAGTAGATGAGTGGGTGAGCGAGTGGATGAGTAGGTGAGTGGGTGAGCGAGTGAGTGAGTAGATGAGTGGGTGAGCGAGTGGGTGAGCGAGTGGGTGAATAGGTGAGTGGGTGAGCGAGTGGGTGAGCGAGTGGGTGAGTAGGTGAGTGGGTGAGCGAGTGGGTGAGTAGATGAGTGGGTGAGCGAGTGGATGAGTAGGTGAGTGGGTGAGCGAGTGAGTGAGTAGATGAGTGGGTGAGCGAGTGGGTGAGCGAGTGGGTGAGCGAGTGGGTGAATAGGTGAGTGGGTGAGCGAGTGGGTGAGCGAGTGGGTGAGTAGGTGAGTGGGTGAGCGAGTGGGTGAGCGAGTAGGTGGGTGAGTGGGTGAGGCTCGCGCACTTTATGCGGAAGTCCTCGGACGCGAGTCTCGCGTTGTCGATCTCCAGCACGAGGCGCGTGTTCTCCAGCGTGGCCACCTCCACCTGGGGTCAGGGGCGGG